GCATGTTCCCTATACATTGCTTAATGAAACTATCTACATACAAAAGGATGTCTTCACATGTCCAAGTTCTTTGTTGGGCACTAGCTTCATAGGATCTTCCCCCGAAAAGTTACAAATGAGGTGCACTTTTGAGTTCCCCAGGAGAAGATAGCATAAAAGCAGGGGTTCAAGCAAAGAGTCCCAAAACTGGGCCAATTGTGAGGTCCATGCACTCTGACAGCCAAGAAAATAAAATGGAGCTTTAGATTCTACAGGAGACAGAAGCAACAAAGATATCAATTTACAAGATATTCCACTTCGTTGAAGTCAAAGGCCTGGCTTGGCCTGGCACTCTTCAGATGGAGCATGAAGCAGAAAAATGTGGGGTTGGTGACATTCTTTCCATCAACAATATGAGGGTCAGAATTTTAGGTGTCGCGCTACATTTTAGAGTCACTCACAACCAGATTCATAGCCATACCGAGTGGTCAGAAGAGACAGAAGTTTTATATGCATGCAGTTTCATTTTTAAAAAAGCCATGTTTGTCTCATGAAAAACCAGCTAGCCCAAGACAGGTTCCAAATAATCAGCCAAAGAAGTATACTGGCCAGCGCCTAGGGAACTATGGGCATATCATGCTGATGCCACTGGACACCCTAACAATTTCTGTGTTACCTGCTGATTTCCACACTTTCATAATGACTGCAATAATAGAGATAAGGTACCAAAAGTCTCTGGACATCCTAAGACAGCTTCCCCCTTTGCATTCCTCAATTGTGGGGAATGAGACTGTTAGGAGACTGACACAGGGATGCATACCTCAAGGATGGTGGCGGCTGCTACTGCTTTTCTGCTTTTCTTCTTCCTTGTATTTTGGTTTTCTGCGAACTTGAGCAATCCTAGAAACCCCCTCTAACTACATATCAACGTTAGAGCTGAAACCGATGTGGAAGTTTTATGGAAACCCATCGGTCCTAGAACTATGGCACAAATCTCAGAGCAGGTACATCGTAAGCACTTGTTGAGACCCACACTCTGGTAGGGGAGGTGTGTCCCAACGGTGAATCCCCTCCCGAAAACTTTAACCCTGCAGTAAGAAAGAGGAATATTTTCTAACTGCTTTCCATCAGGTTTCTCTGGTTTATTGTCTTTCTAACCTAGAGGAAAGGCCATCCACAAACAAACCCCTACCCTCTTTGATTAAATCTTTTTGGCACGTAAGAGAACTGTTGTTGTTTTTTTAATGTTGAACAGTCCTTAGCTACATCGGCACAGCAGCATGGGTTAATCCAGATCTGAGCACATGCAAGAGCTTTAATGAATATTGCAGAAGGAAGCTGGGAACTACATTCAATTAACTAACACACACACACATACACAGCTGAACATATTATAGTGCTGTCAAGTGTTGAAGCAACCATACCAGAATTATGGTTATCGACCAGCGATGCAGAAGTCTGGAGTCGTAGGTTTTTATGATAACAACTCACTCTTCTTCTATTCCTGGTTTCTCTAGAAGTGTGATTGTGCTACATCCAACTGACCTTACCTATGACCTTCTGGCATGCCGTAAGTGACTCTACCACTGGGACACAACAGGTTTTCCCTCATCCCCTTGTTCTTCCCTTAAATTATCATAAACAGAAAATAACAGAAGGGCTATGTATAATAGCAGAAAAGCAGATAAAGTGGTATCAAGCTGTGATAACCAATTTACTGTCTACACTGTATAATTTTAGAGCCTGTGATCTTTAGCACTCTCCATCTGAGCTGCAGTTGATGGGGACGAACCTTCTCAGTGGTGGTATCCTGGTTTTGGAATGCTTTCCCTGGGGAAGTTTGCCTGGCACCCTTACTGATGCCATCTTAGCACTAGGAGAGACTTGAATTTCCATACGCCTTTCATTTCATCTCCTCGGTCTCTGCTGCTGTTCTTACAGAGTTCTATTTAGATCTGAACGCCTGTTACTCTTGTGTTTTATACTGTATTTCTAATATATGCATGTGTAAGCCGCCCTGAACATTTGTTTTACTAACGGAAGAAAAACTCTCAGTATAAGGCAACAACATGGAGGCCATTACGTCAGAAGCAGTTGGAACCTATAACCAATCCAGAATGCAGAAGCAAGCATATTGACTGATAAGGTAAAGGTAAAGGTTCCCCTTGACATTTAGTCCAGTCATGTCCAACTCTAGGGCGCGGTGCTCATCCCCGTCTCCAAGCCATTGAACCAGTGTTTGTCCGTAGACAGTTTTTGTGGTCATGTGGCCAGCACGACTAGGCACGGAACACCGTTTACCTTCCCACTGTGGTGGTACTTATTTACGGTATCTACTTGCATTTAGATGCTTTCGAACTGCTAGGTTGGCAGGAGCTGGGACAAGCAACGGGCGCTCACTCCCTAGCGTGGATTCGACCTTACGACTGCTGGTCTTCTGACCCTGCAGCACAGAGGCTTCTGCGGTTTAACCCCAAACAAAACCCCTAATCCACACTAGAGTGAATCCTTAGGTCAAATCAAAATGTAAAGGGGAAAATGTGCAGAAAAGCAGATAAAGAGAAATAAGGGGTAAAAAAAGCAAGCTCTTTCCGTTTGTCTTTCCTCTCCTTCCCTTTCCCTGTTTCTCATCCTACCCCACTGCCTTTTTTTGGAACACTAGGCCCTTGTGACCCTGAAAGGCTGCACCCAGTGTTATGCTTTTGGGGAGTCATGCTTGTCCTAATAAATATTAGTGTCAGTCCAGTAATGATGCTGGGATTTTGGAACCCATACGCCATCATTTTTTAAAAAAAACAATGAAACCACAAAACTTGTTTTACTACAAAACTTTCCCCCCCCCAACCAGTTTTCTGGACTTTACAAAGCATTGCTTTCATGTTTTCAAGCCTGTTTCTAAAGGCTTCAGGGCTAGAAATTTGTTTCCTATCCTTTTTTTTTTAAAGTACCCAGAAACAAAAACAAAGAAGGGCATCGCAAGATCTTAAATTCTACACTCAGGAACGATTTTTAATGCTCTTGAATGGCTCAATCACAACAAAATAGGGGTCATGACAGTCATGGAAAAAGCACTGCCAAACAAGTTGATTTTTTTCCACTGGAAAGTGTAAAAGGGGAGGGTTAAGAAGGAGATGGAGATAACATCTTATGCATTTTGCTGATGCACTAGCTTTTTTACTGCCTGTTTGCCAGACAAAGATCAAAATGCTACAAAACTAAACAATTCTCTCCCCAGCAACAGCAGAAGCTTATCTGAAGCACATAGTGCATGGCGGTTCATGTCAATCTTTTCTAGGCTTCTTACAATTAAAAAAAAAGAGGCACGCGACATGCATTAAATAAAAGAAACAAATGCACATAAGCAAGCAGTTACCCACTGCTCTCGAACCTTGATCACATTCTCCCGTGTTTTTAAACCTCAAATCTTCAGCTCGATTCCAAACGACAATAAAAAGGGTGCAGAAAGCAGGCCAAGTTTCCCCGGCTCTTAAACCAGGAACATGTACTGTATGATTTGGAGGGGCAGAAAAAGTTACTTTCGGATACCACCCCCCCCAAAGGAATACTGTACGATTGTGTTCCAAAGCCGTGATGTCACCACTGGTCGTCACCCCCTCCAACAGGCCTGGTCAATTTTTGCAGCTTCCCCCCCCACACCTGCTAATGACCGTAACAAAAAAGTGCGTATCAATTCCCTGGGAGCACGTTTGTCCCTGTGGATCAGAAGTTAAAAAAAAGGAGCAAAAGAAAAGTAAAAGAGACCTAGGGTCTAAGAGTTGTTATCGCATATCAGGAATGGGGGCCTGATACGCGGGACCTGCTATCAAGTTGGACCCAAATCACAACAGCAACTCGGTTTCGATTCAACTTGGGGTTTATTTGTCAATGATTTGGACTCAACTTGCAACTCACAACCCACATATCCCTCCCTTTTTGCTGAGGGCAAAAAGCTTGTTTTTAATCGGGACTTAAGACTTCAGGCTTGGGATTCAAGACCTGGAACCAAAGGCTTTGACATCCCACATGGGACTCAGGAGTCAACATCTCTGTCTCATGCCAAGCTTGACCCTGGAACTCGCAAGCAAGCTTTCTGACCCCCTGCAAAATTTAAATGACTTTTTTTCCAACCACTCTATAGCTTCCAGAGGTGAGAAAGCCATCGTCCCTTATGGTCTTCGTACATATTTTAAGCCTGGCACATTACTGTACTGACTGTTACACATTAAGGGGCTAAAAATCCCTGCTCATGACACCTTCTCTGGTGGCTCTGGCAAAGTTCTCAGATTTTTAGCGCCCTATGTAACAAAATGAATTAAATCGTGACAGACGTGGTGGAGGAGATAAGGAAGTGACATCATCGTCCCTGCAGGGGTAAGATAAAGTGGCTGTAAATCAAAAGAATTCCTGCACACACAAACACACCCACCTTTTTTTTCTTCCTTTTCCAGCACACCCAAGGAGGTATGATAGGCCAAAACAACAGGGTGGTTCTGCCAAGTTTTATGCTAAGTAAGAAAACCAGCATGCAAATCTTTCAGTCCACTAGTGGAATTTAAGGAGCTCACTTATTTATTTTGCTTTGCTTTTGTTTTGTTTAAATGCATACGTGTGATAGAGGCGCTCAGGAGTGAGGTCTCATTCCTACAAAGACAAATATTTAGGAGAAGTGGTAGGAGAGAAGTTCTTTCAAAAGATGCAACAGTCCCCACC